ACCCTGCAGCGCTTTACAATGGGTGGACGAACAGACATGTAGTTGTAACCAGACAAGTTGGACACACAGGAACAGAGGGGTTGAGGGCCCTGCTTAATGAGCTTACATGCTAGAGAGAGTGGGGTAAAATGACACAAAAAGGTAAGGATAGTATTAAAATAGTGACCGTTGCAGAAGAGGAATCAATCAGGAGCTATTAACAGTTTAATTGATACGCTTTTATGAAGAAGTGGGTTTTTAACGATTTTTTGAAGGAGTGAAGACTGGGTGAGCATCTAACGGAGGAGGGAAGTGAGTTCCACAGGAACGGTGCAGCCCTCGAGAAATCTTGAAGGCGAGTATCAGAGGTGGGAGAATGGACAGAAGATAGATGTAAGTCTTCAGCAGATCGTAAGGGCCTAGATGGGACATACTTGTGTATAAGGGAGGATAGATAGATGGGAGCAGCATTATGTAGAGATTTGAAAGCAAGAACCAGAATTTTAAATTGAGCTCTATATTTTATAGATCATTGGATACTTTGATCAATGCCGTTTCCACAGAGTGCTTAGCGCGGAAACCAGACCGAAGCGGGTCTAGCAGAGAGTTAGACTCAAGGAAGTCTGTCAAGCATATGCTCTGAGCCTAATGACCATAATTCCCATCTAAATGTACTCTCTCAATCTATGAGACAGAAAGGCTACAAACCAAAGACTATTACCAAACAAATCAACGTTGCTGTAAAAACTCCATGCATGCTCCTTCTACAGTACAGAGAGAAAAAATATCTAAGGATTTGGATTACTGGAACAATGTCCTGTGGTCCGATGAGACCAAGATAAACTTATTTGGTTCAGATGGTGTCAAGCGTGGGTGGCCGCAACCTGGTAAGGAGTACAAAGACAAGTGTGTCTTGCCTACAGTCAAGCATGGTGGTGGGAGTGTCATGGTCTGGGCCTGCATGAGTGTCACATGAAGAGATATAATAAAATATTTACAAAAATGTGAGGGGTGTACTCACTTTTGTGAGATATTGTATATCCCTGACGTTGGATTTGAGGCACAACTCTCAACACCTTTTCTAATTAATATTAGTCTTTGAAACCAGGTCTTTGACAAAAAAATTAAATCAAAGCAATTTCTTTCCTGTGAAAGTGTAAATCGAAAAGATGTGATTAAAACACATTTTTGTCTTTTCATCAGATATTTTAAGCCAGTGTTTTTTCTTATTGAGCAGAGGAGCTAAAACAGTATGCATCTCTAAACTATATTAAAAATAGGTCAATTTCACTTTGTAATAAATTAACATTCAATATGTAACTATCATTCAAATGATCACAAATCTCCTGCACACACAGTCCAGTAGCAATACTAGGCATGGCCATCTTTACGCAAGGGCTGGGCAGTAGGGACCCTAAGGTGTTGCCCATGTGCAGGTACTTTCCTCTCCCTTACCAGCCTCGCTATCTGTCTTCCTGGACGGTGGGGAGATCAAAACTCTCCCTCACCGATCTCCAGACACTTCAAGCAGATAGCTCCTCCCAGGGGTGGACTGAGAGCCTTTGGGGCCCCCGGGCAAAATTAGATCCCAGGCCCTTTGAAGGCCAAATATATGTGCATTTTAATAAATGTTAAATATAATTCAAAATACGGCATTCCTTTGGATGTGTGTATTGTGAAGACCTGTGTATCAATGCATGTTTGTATTTGAGTCTGTGTGAATGCACTTGTGCATGTCTGGATGACTACATGTGCTTTTTTGTATATAGTGTCTGTGTGAATGCATATGTGACAGGTGACAGAGTGTGTGAGGGAGAAGGTGACAGGTGGAAGAGTGTGGGAGGTTGTGACAGATGGCAGAGTGAGGGGGTACCTGGTGGCAGAGTGAGGGAGGGAGGGGTTGAGTGGTGGCAGAGTGAGGGGGAGACACAGTAAGTGGGGGTGACTGATGACAGAGTGAGGGAGTGGGTGACTAGTGACAGAGGGAAGGAGAGGGGGAGACTAGTGACAGAGTGAGGGAATGGGTGACTAGTGGCAGAGTGAGGGAGGGAAGGGGTGACTAGTGACAGAGTGAGGGGATGACTGGTGACAGAGTGAGGGGGGGGTGACTGTCACTAGTCACCCCATCCCTCTCTCTGTCACTAGTCACTCCCTCCCTAACTCTGTCACTGTGTCACCCACTCCCTCACTCTGTCACTAGTCACCCCCTCCCTCACTCTGTCACTAATCACCCCCTCTCTCCCTAGTCACCCCCTTCCTCACTCTGTCACTAGTCACTCCATCCTTCTCTCTGTCACTAGTCACCCCATCCCTCTCTCTGTCACTAGTCACTCCATCCCTAACTCTGTCACTGTGTCACCCACTCCCTCACTCTGTCACTAGTCACCCGCTCTCTCACTATGTCACTAGTCACCCCCTCCCTCACTATGTCACTAGTCACCCCCTTCCTCACTCTGTCACTAGTCACCCCCTCTCTCACTCTGTCACTAAGGACAGAGGGGGTGATTAGTGACAGAGTGAGGGAGGGGGTGACTAGTGACAGAGTGAGGGAGCAGGTGACACAGTGACAGAGTTAGGGAAGGGGTGACTAGTGGCAGAGTGAGGGAAGGGGTGACTAGTGGCAGAGTGAGGGAGGTGGTGACTGTCACTAGTCACCACCTCCCTCTGTCACTACTCCCTCCTTCCTTCTGTCACTACGCCCTCCCTCACTCTGTCACCAGTCATCCCCTCCCTCCCTCACTCTGTCACCAGTCATCCCCTTCCCTCACTCTGTCACCAGTCATCCCCTTCCCTCACTCTGTCACCCCCTCACTCTGTCACTAGTCACCCCCTCACTCTAGTGACAGAGTGAGGGAGGGGGTGACTAGTGACAGAGTGAAGGAGGTGGTGACTGTCACTAGTCACCCCCTCCCTCTCTCTGTCACTAGTGACACCCTCCCTCACTCTGTCACTAGTGACACCCTCCCTCACTCTGTCACTAGTGACACCCTCCCTCTCTCTGTCACTAGTCACCCCCTCCCTCTCTCTGTCACTAGAGTGAGGGGGTGACTATTGACAGAGTGAGGGGGGTGACTAGTGACAGAGTGAGGGGGGTGACAGAGTGAGGGGGTGACAGAGTGAGGGGGTGACAGAGTGAGGGAAGGGTTGACTAGTGACAGAGGGAAGGAAGGGTTGACTGGTGACAGAGGGAAGGAAGGGTTGACTGGTGACAGAGGGAGGGAGGTGGTGACTGTCACTAGTCACCACCTCCCTCACTCTGTCCCTAGTCACCCCTCACTCTGTCACTAGTCACCCCTTCCCTCCCTAACGCTGTCACTAGTCACCACTTCCCTCCCTCACTCTGTCACTAGTCACACCCTCCCTCACTGTCACTAGAGTGAGGGGGTGACTAGTGACAGAGTGAGGGAAGGGGTGACTAGTGACAAAGTGAGGGAGGTGGTGACTGTCACTAGTCACCACCTCCCTCACTCTGTTACTAGTCACCACCTCCCTCTGTCACTACTCCATCCCTCCTTCTGTCACTAGTCACCTCCCTCGTCCCTTACTCTGTCACTAGTCACCTCCCTCGTCCCTTACTCTGTCACTAGTCACCCCCTAACTCACTCTGTCACCAGTCATCCCCTCACTCTGTCACCAGTCATCCCCTCACTCTAGTGACAGAGTGAGGGAGGGTGTGAGTAGTGACAGAGTGAGGGAGAGGGTGACTAGTG